AATCACTTATGTTAAGCAACCCATGGACCTAGTCAATGTAGCACAACAGCCATTATGCAAAATTATGACATTAAGGAAAAAATAATCATAACTATTGCAGACTTTGCAATTTGCACTGTTTACTGTAAAACTGATAACTTTCAAGAAGCAAGCTTAATGGTTGAGATCCCTTAGACCCCTTTGTTGTTTCAAATTAGATTACATTAGCAGTTAGTTAGGCAAAGGTGTTGTTGTAATGGGTAACAGTACCGTGCTATGCTTTAATAGGAACCACGGTGAACAAAATCTGTGAGAAATTCTCACAATAAGGATATTCAATGAACTAAAGTTCCACTAGAATTGTATTCAATGATTTAAATATTTCTATTGAACTTTAATACTGCTATTGAGGGGGGAAACCCAGGCACAATCAATTCAATCGTATTACACCGTAGACAAATGAGTTAAAGGGTTATGTTGGTTAGTTAATACAGAACTGTTTATGTTTTCATAGCAAAAATGGGCAGACTTCTGCCACCTGTAACACAATTCTCCTACAATAAAATAACCCATCATACTCACATCATTTAATGAAATATTTAGATATGCTACAATCTTAATTTGGCATATCTGAAATTGCCAACTGAAATATCTGCATTATAATATTAAGGAAGAATTGTATTCTGCATTCATTCAAGTCACCCTTGGTGTGTGTGTGTGTGTGTGTGTGTGTGTGTGTGTGTGTGTTTAAAACAAAGAATTAAACACCACTTCCTGAAACATTATATTGTAAGGTTCACTGGTATTGGTCAAGAATATCCTATGCTCTCCTATCAGGATGATTAATGAAGGCACCTTTTTCACAGAATGTCACACTCTGCCTTTTTAACAACTGACCTTTCATGGAATACTACTGAACTCATAATTCCACTTTTGTTCAGTTTCTTATTAGTGGAGTTAAAATTAATACTTATGGGAATGATGGCTAAGGTAATGCACAGTAAATCTTATAGCACATGCAGACTACCCAAGAAATAGTACCTGCATTTGTCCATTTCAATAGAACAAGCATTCTACTAAAACTGTGTGTCCTTTCAAAAGACAAATTAGGTCAATATTCATCCCACTTTCAAGTTCACAGCTGTACTTTCAAAGTTTGGAACTGCTAATGAAACAGTTAATCTCTATGTATGCAAAGGCATTTTAATCTGTATTAATTGTTGGAAGACTTTATGACATGTATATAGTACAAAACAATCTAATTAATATTAATCTGAAAAGGGAGTATGTTAGCAACCACAATTAGACAATCCAGCAAAACTAAGGCTACCCACATTGACTTATTTCCCATTATTTCCCATCCACCCTCATTTTTGTTCCTAGAAACTTAGTCATTCTTCCTTAAGGGTGACTGTAGCAAAAGATTATTGCTACTGAATTATCCTGCAAATATCAGAAGTATTGGAGGATCCTCAGAAAAAAATCAGCCCACCCAGTAATGGTGTCGATTACATGATTTCTAATATGAATCTGTGCAGCTCTTCAATCTCATGTGTTCAGTATTAGAGCAATGGTGGTTCATAAGACATCACTAATCAGCTTTACTGTAAGTAAAACAAGACTACACACAAAATAGTACACCCCAGAATAAAATACGTAGGTAAAGAATATTCTAACAGCAAATGAGCATCCGTAAGTTGACCCATGCTTGAGATTCATGAAGATTGAATGGGATCGAACAAGAGCGATCTGTGAGCAAGAGAAGGTTGGAACCTAGTGTTGTCCTCCTTGTGCCACTTTTAATACCTTAGATAAACTTGCTCCTATTGAAGTCAAATGACAGAACTAATATAATAATTAGTGCTGGCAGTGAAGCTTCTGGCAGCAATTGGTTGAGCAGCTTTGATCCTACTAAGGAGCAGCTTCCCCACCCCCGCCCCCCCAAAAGAACCTGGGAATCTAGAAGTAAGTACAGTGGTGCCCCGCAAGACGAATGCCTCGCAAGACGAAAAACCCGCTAGACGAAAGGGTTTTCCGTTTTTCGATGCGCTTCGCAAGACGAATTTCCCTATGGGCTTGCTTCACAAGACGAAAACGTCTTGCGAGTCTTGCGATTTTTTTTGCTCCCCCCCCCTTTTCTAAGCCGCTAATAGCCTTTTAGCTGCTAAGCCGCTAAGCCTTTAATAGCCGCTAAACCGCTAATAGTGCTAATCCGCTAAGCCGCTAATAGGGTTGCTTCGCAAGACGAAAAAACCGCTAGACGAAGAGACTCGCGGAACGGATTATTTTCGTCTTGCGAGGCACCACTGTATAGGTCTGAGAAGAAAGCAAACTAATAAAATTGAGATCTTATGAAAACAAAAGTTAGAAGATGGAATGCTACAAATAAATGAGAAAATAATAATGGAAAGGGGGGCAGAGAAGAGCAGAGTATGTGGCTAGAAGAGGTGAAGGAAGTTGAATTCATATAATGATTTGAAATAGCCAACCAATTTCTGCCCACAGAGATATTTTGCTGCATCTGTGATGCAGGTTCAACTGTCTTAATGGCCAAGTTACACTATAGGACAGAGATAGACAACTGATCGCCCCAAGGGCTGCATTTCTTGACTTTAGCTTTGTACTTGACATGTAGGGTTACCAAGAAGAAACTTGCTGCAGTGTTTTAGTCAGAATATTTCAATAAAATGATTTAATTAATAGGATGTTCTTAAATTAAGTCTTCTAAAGAGAAGTTACATGGATGAATTTAGCACTGTAAACTTGATGTTAGCTACGGACATGACTAACCAACTGCTTCTACAACCGTCATGGATTCCAATATGACTTACTCCTAAGGAACAGAACTCTGGGCTTTGTTTTACTCCTCAAATTAAAATTCCGATCAGAAAGTGTATAAAAGTCTAAAGCCTCTGAGATGTAGTGTTCTCATAGTAGGAATAGCTAGAAACTTGTTTCTACAGCCTTTTGCTTTATAATGTTTGCACTTTATATAGTACACTTTATATATTACACCCATGAGAAAAGTATTTTGCAAACATTTAGGATTTTCTTCTCTTCAGAATATGCAGTTTCAGTTTGTCATTGCCATTTCTAGCCTACCATTAAGAAAAGGCTATTTCAAGAAAGACAAACAAGCAAGTTTCTGAAAGACATGCTGTCATACTCCCGAACATATTCTCCATTTCACACTGAGATATAAATCTTAAAACCCAGAGGATATCTGCATAAATGAAGAGTGGCTGAACAACTTCAAGAGTTACAAGCAATATTTCCTTGCAAACAGAGAACACATGTGACCTACAAGAGTTGATAGAGGACCCCAACCATGACCAACAGAAATTGCTGCTAGCAACAAATCTGAGAGAAACAGAGACCAGCTTCAACAGACAAGTGGGTGAGATGGCTCAACGGAAATGAGGTTATCGTGAAGATGTTACACATGTATGCAAATTAGTATCTCTTCCAAGCATCTCTTCACAGAACAAGTCAGAGTAAAACTGGGGAAGAGTTCACTGTAGTTGTAATTTAGGAATAAATGAATAGGAACTAGGCAGAAAGGTAGACAGTGTTATCACAAACTTAAACTTGAACAGGCACTGCCTATACAATACATGTTCACACAACAGCTTGTTTCTTCAATGTCTTATGTCCAGTGTTAGAAATTGAGATATGAAAGCTAGGAGCTAAACGGCACCTTAATCATAGGTTATGGGCACAACAATGGAATGTCTAGGCGTGCTTTTTACAAGAGTGCAAAGCTGAAAATGAATGAACATCAGCTAAAATCTTATGTTAATTTTTCACATGGTCTAGTCCTCATTTGAAGACAGCAAAAACAAAGCCATGCTCTCCCCCCGCTAATATTTTTAGAGGTCTTTTCTCCAGTCCTCAGGGAGTGGCTGGAAGTGGGGAGGCAGAAAAAGTTTCTCCTTCCCTTCCGCTGCAGTTTTAATCTGAAATCTTAGGCGCAGTATTGCGCCCAGAGCTCAGTAACTCCTCACGCTAATGAAATTCCCTGCTGTAAAACACGCCTAGAACAAGGACGTTTCAAAAGCTGCTTATGTCAAATCTTTATCTTATTAATTTTTTTTTTACAAAACTTGTAGGAAGACCATGTAATATGAACATTACTTCAATACAAAATATGACAGTGCCAAGCAAATAATAATTATACCATTAATGTATCTGAAGCTTCAAAACTAGAAAACGTATTAACTCTCTCCTGAATTGGTTGTATCACAGGACAAAAAAAAGTAAATCCTAAAATTATGAACGATTGCAGGGGCAGAATGGTAGCATATCCCACAAGAGAATGAATCATCCGGGGGGAGGGGGGAAAGGGAAGAGTTAAGCAAAAGAACATTTGAATTATACAATAAGCACAGAGGTAGTATAGTCATACCTCATGTTACGTCCACTTCATGTTACATTCTTTTAGGTTATGTCCCGCGGCGACCCGGAAGTAACGGAAAGGGTTACTTCCAGGTTTCACCACTCGCGCATGCACAGAAGCGCAAAATGACGTCACGTGCACGCGCAGAAGCAGCGAATCGCAACCCGCACGTGCGCAGACACGCTGCTGCGGGTTGCACTATTTTCATGTTGCAAATGGGCCGCCGGAACAGATCCCATTCACAACAAGAGGTACCACTGTACGTTGTTAGCTCTCTGTCAAGGTTTGGGTGCAATTAACTTGTCTTATCTAAATTATCAGAATTTGAGGAAAGCTGAGAAAACAAATGTCTTACAGAGCTTTAAGCCAAGATATAACATATTCACATTACAGCTCTTCTCTGTGTAGGTTTTTCTTTGAGTCAGGTCTGTCACATACTGAAGTACAACACCATTCATACAGATGGCTGTTTCACCTGCTCATAATTATGGTAACAAAATAAAGGTACTTGCCTGTAGCTGCTCTTGTTTTGAGAACAGTTCACATCCATTAAAAATAATAGAATACGAGTCTATGATTCTGAATGGACATGAACTGAGTTGGAAGGAACCATGAGGGTCATCTAATCCAACCTCCTGCATTGCGGGATTCTTTAGCTCAAACCCATGACCCTAAGATCAAGAGTCTCATGCTCTACCAACTGAGCTATATGTTGGAACTATTACTTATTATGTGGATGTTACTCAGGAGGAAAGGTCGCACAGCCTTACAAAAGCCTTGCACACATTCAACTTTACATGGAAATAAATAAATAAATAAATAAATAAATAAATGTAAAGGAGGTGGGAGTCTGGGGAAAAAAGACTTTGGCAATCTCACCCACCATTGTACCCAATGTGTTTTGACTATATGCAATTTTAATTTTACACACTCTCCCCAGAATGCAACCCGTGTAAGCTGAGTCTCACCTGTATTTGAAAAAAACAACAACCCCATCTTCTCTCATATAAATGCTTACCTTCAGAAATACTATTATGAATGCCACACCATCATCTGAGAAGCAAAGTTATAATATTCCAGAAAAAGATTATTTCCCATGATGGCTCCTTGTTTATGGAATTCTCTTCTGAGAAAAAACCCAAATCTCTGCCACTGGTCATTTTAGGGGAACAATAAATGAAAATATTTCTGTTTCACCATATCTTTCAGGCATGAGCGTTAAAGCTGTTGTTTTCAATCTCTCGCTGTTTATTTTGTGTTACAAATTATTTCATTACTGAACTGTAACATGGTTCTAAAAATATTAAAAGTCAGTATATAAATGACTTAATAATCATGAAGATTAATAATGATGGTGATGATAAGCTATTTACTATCACCATTATAAAGCACTCCTGATGAGACGGGGCAAACCCTGTTGCCTGGAAAGTATAACAGCTGCCCATAGGGATTGTGGCAACATTTTAGTTGGAACCCACGATCACAGTGGGATATCCTCTGTGTGTTCGTTGTCCATTAAGATGCTACAAGCTGGACTGGTAAAAAGGTGTTTCCCCTGGCCTGTCTCGCACACACAATGTGTGAGAAACTTGTGGATAAACAGATCACAAATGTACTTCTGATAGGCTTTATTCAGGTGGTTGTACACTGCAACTTTAGGCAGTGTGATATAAATGGTATGAGGTGGGAAAAAATGCTACACATCTACTTCACAGTCCCCAAGCACAGTTATATAGAAACATTTTGGTAAAATAAATTATGTGCCTTGGTTATTTAACAATCTAAGAGATCTCATTTGTGGTCTATTTCTAGATTATCTTGTGTGAGATTCTTACTAGAAATGCAGTGCTACTGTTCTAACATCAATTTAATTCCCAAATATTTCATCATGTCATAAACTATAAATTGTGCAGTATTTTTAATTAGCTATCTCTCTTTACTTGGCAGCCATCAAGCTGAGTTTTCCCCAATTGATTTTACTGCTAATAAACCTGCCAGACTTGTCAATCAGTTTTTGTATTGTTGTCATTGATGCTCATACTATTTTTGCTAATTAAAAATCTATCTTTGCACATATTGTGCTTTAATAAGGAGTCAGGATATAAAATTCATAGTGGTGGGTCATTAAATGTAAATAGCAAGTGACAAAATAGTGTTGGAAATGAATGATTTCCTAGGCCACTATATCCTAAGGGCAAAAGAAGCCACCTTCAACATTTCTTACACTAGGAAAATAAGGTTATAAAAAACCTTTCCAGTGTTTTATATAAACTATATATTAACTATTTTATGTAACTTTTCGGGACCCTAGTTGTCTGGTTTCCAAAAATATGAAAAATAATGAACTTCCTTGTCCTTGGCTCTTTGCAATAGCACAGAATGATTGGAAAACTAAATACAAATATGCTTTTTCAGGGAGAAGACAACAAAAGTCCATCCCTTAATGGGCCCATCAAAACAAGTCTTTCTGCAGTCATCCTCAGTCTAGCAATTGACTGAAGAGAGTCAAAGAAATCAACGATGGTAGAGATGAGGAATGGAAGGATTAAAAGGAGTATGCTTGTATAGATGGATAAACAACAAAAGCTGCTTAGCAAAGGATGACTCGTCAATCCTAAACTTTATAGAGAAATGCAAACTATGAAAACAGTCTTAAGGAACACCATATCTTTCAGGCAGAAGACCTGTGTGGGAGGGTGGGTGTAAAGACATGATAGGAGGAAAGACATTTTCTTCTCATTAAGGATGGTCCAACTAAAGGACTTTCATACTAATATGAATTTAAGATTCAGAGAAAATCTACTCAATAAGTATTTGTAGTATCTGTAGTTCATAGCACCTCTAAACAATTAACCACAAGAGATTAACTTTTCTGGATTCATGTACACTTTATGGAATCATGTACGTACGCACTCTTTCAAAAACTTCCAATGAACAAAAACAAATTTTTTTTTTTTAACAAATGAAGCTGGTAGCTCCTCCTTGTTCCTCTTTCTCTAGAATGGGCTGCTGCTTCTTTGTTCAGATTTACAGGACAAGTAAATCTGCACAAGTTGGCCATGTGGGACAGGAGACCTTGGTCATTACAAAGTCTACTGCCAAGAAGACTCCAGCTTTGAACTCAGTACCCACTATGTTTCCAGTTGATGGTCTTTCATTCACTGCATATATTTCACCTGTGAAGGATTCTTTTTTCAAATAAGAGCCTTCCAAGATACCAATCTATCGAAAGCAAGCATTATCTTAGGCAGATGACAGCCGGAATGGGTTCCCTTTGAAGTGGTAGGCAGGATCTCTACCTGTACTCCAGCAAGCAAAATAAAAATAAAAATCCTGAAACAACTTAAAAATGGGGTACTGCTTAGTGACTCAACCCAATATATGGTGTGAACATCAACATTTTTTCTGGGCCGTATTCCAAGAAAAAGTCCCCATCAGGGTATGTTTGACAAAGTTGTCAGAATGAGAGAGAGAGAAAAAGAGAGAGGGAGGTATTAAATAAATGGAAACACTAAACGCCTAATACATTAAATGCAAACATTAAATGCCTAAATATCAGTGAACTATCATTATTTAATAGGAGCTTCTATTAACTGCAGAAAGTGTAGTAACCCAGCACCCTGATATTGGAAAGTGATATATGTATGGGACTTTGAGCATAAATGTTGCAATTATAAATTTTTACTGTAGGAAAACATTGCCAACCTAACAAAGAAAAAAAGTCCTTGACCAAAATATCCGAGGATATTAAACTGAGACGTAATCTACTGATGCAAATCATTACATCTATTTGCATTTGCTTACTGAACCCTAACACAGAAATTAAACTACATAGAGTGGGGGGGAAAGAGAGCTGGTTGTGCATGGTTAAAAGGAGACATCTTGGAGAATCCAAGCTCTTTCATTAATTTCCCCACTTCCCCTCATTAACAAGTAAAATGTTTTTACTGCTTGAAAAGTTTTAATAAATAGGAAAATGCAGGGCAGCCAACATAAGTTTTTAATGCAATATACAAAAGCTTTTAATATTTTTACATACATTAATGAAAAAGCTAAATTTTATAAGACTTCTTCTGTGAAGGAAATAAATACTACATGCACAATTACATATCTCTTATAAAATATTTACCGTAACTCTTCCATTTCATTTGATACATCAATTAACAAGTCAATTAAGTGAACATATAAGGATTGTCCTGTTTCAAAATAATGTATCTCATCCCATTCAATTCTCTTTCCAAGCAGTGTGTGTGCATTTTTGGTAAGAAAAACAGATGAATCGTCTGCTAGAAATGCAGGTTCAAACTTCTGGTCTAGATTAGAAAGATTAAAATCAAAATCAACTTGTAGGGACAACGTTTATGAAACACAGGCCCTAAGTCAAGGCAATATTCAGTTTGTAACATTCCATTGCTCAAACAATAATCTGATGTAAACAATATTCCTTGCTGTGTTTAGGAAAACTCTATAATGGGTTGGATACTTTGTGCTATGTGTTTAATTAAACTGAACAGAAAATGTGGTTCACCATGTCCTACAGAATTACCTGGAGTTCCTAGAGGGTCCTGGCCTTTGGATTGGCACATTGTGTCTGAAATCATGCAACAATCACAGATTTAACAAACTGCTTTGAGATATTTTATTACAATCAAGCAACATATAAATTTTATGAAATAAAAATAAGTAATAAATAAAACTTATCTACTACTTCTTAAAACGTGTCCTTAGATTCCAAGGCTAACAGGTGCCACAACAACCACCACTAATTACACATATTTTTAAAATAGTGTATATTTTTTTTGCGAGAAAAGCTAACTGTTAGACAGATTTATATTGGATTATTCTGGATTTTAAATGCATGCGCATGCCAGAATCACAATTTACTCAACACACATGCAGAATAATCTACCATCTGTAAACATAATGCAGAAAAGTACAAGCAGATATGGAAAGGTCACACAGTCTAAGAGACTATATGTGTTCTTAACAGGATTGGGAAACTTTTTTCCCTTAGTTTTTGAAATTATGCTGAGCTTTTAAAAAACGTTTCCTCCAGCAAAAAGTTGTGTGCACCCCCCCCCCAAAACACTTCTAATCATCTAGCTATAAGTATAAACAATCCTATAGTTATCACCTGAAAAGCCATCAGGAGAAAAACTAGCCCAGTTTATTTTTAATAAAAGGAGGATCATAGTATATAATAACTCTTCCTGCCATATCCATTGAATCTGCTGAAATAGAGATTGATGTCTGGATATTTCTAGCAGGGGGAAGTAATATTTCTCTAAAACACATACTTTTGGTATTCAGTTGCATCCCGAGAAAAGTGGTAGGCCCCTACCTAACCAGCTACTACAAAGAAGCTACATTTTAATATCTAAACCTTTTCCATTTGAAAAATAAAAAGAGTACAGACACCAGAGTATTTTCTAAAGATAGCTTTTGAAAATACTGTATGCCATATCACCTCTAGTTGCACTCATTAATGTACACAAGCCTTTACTTTTTCATATCTCAACTCAAAAAGCTTCATAAGGGCATAAAAAGCTAGAACTACTAAACATAAAAGATTAACACTGCCTACATAATCCACAGAACCTTATACGGCATTTTCCAAGGCTTTCACCCCTTTTTCAACTCATACCAAGCATGGGACAACCTGCAATGCAATACATACCGTGCTTCAGTTTAGTGTTACAATAGGCCAGAAATCATAG